GCTTGGGAGGGGGGGGGGAATAAAAACAAAAAAAAACGACTAAAGCTGGAATGCGCGTATGGCCTGCGCCGAAAAGTTAACAATAGAGAAAACCTATGCGCCCGTTCCAATCGTTCGCTTCCCGCCTTCAAATGAAACATTAGGCATCTCAAATCAGCCACAGAAAATCTCGGATCAAGCTCGGAAAAACTCCAAATTTCTATTTTGAAATTCTTCAATATAGTTGGATCCAAATGTCCTTTGCTAAAAAAAGCTCAACTGCGCTGTCTGACTGGAAACAAAAAAGTCTGATGTATCCAAAAAGAGCAAGTTTCACTCAGTAAGAGCACCTCAGCATTCTAGCCAAATCACTTCCTGAGAATCATATGCACCGACCATGGTTACCATAAATTCTACATTGGGGTCTGTCTGTATAAGGGGGAGGGGGTTCCATATCCAGAGCACCCATTGACTTCAAAGCTCGCGTTCCAAATTCAAGCAAATTTTTCGGGTTGTTTGTTCCAATAAAGAGGGAAGGGGTGGGAGGCGGGGAGGGGGAGGAGAGCGGGCATTTGGTACGATAGTTCGCGCTGGTCATAGTTCCAGTTTTTGCAGAGAAAGAATCTCTGGGGTGCATGCACTATTTCTTGCACATTCACCCCTGACTTCCTTCCTTGCAAAAAAATGGAATTACTGTAGGACCACGACGTGTTGCACACGTGTCCCCCCCTTTATTGAACCAGACCAGATCCTTGATTTCTTTTGATATTACCGTTTAGAAGAAATTATACTCACCTAGTTCTCCTTTTGCACGAGCAAATTGGTCTACCCATATAAAGTCCTCCTTCCGCCGAAAATTGGGATCTGTGTCATCCGTGCTAGCGATTCATTGAACAGTGTCTTCTTGACCAGTGTATTATGGTGAAATTTAAACTCTGCCCAAAAGAATTGTTTCCGTATGCCGCAGCGGGGCCTCTCGACCGTAATTATAGCTAATGTGTTAATGTTTGATCAACTATTCCATATATTGAGACGCGATGGGCGTTACACGTCATCACTGACATCGCGAAGGAATCGTCAAAACATTGAAAATATTGGTCACCGCTAAGTCATTTAATTATGCTGGTTTTCCTGAGCGTATCAGGCGAGGCGCACCACAACATTCCTTGCTCTAATGCTAATATAATATAGACGCCGCCAAATCGCTCCGGAAATTCAAAAATTCTTCACGCTTGTGGACGATTAACGTTTAGGTTTAGTTCTTTCTTTTCGTGATTTATGCTTGTTGATTACTTCTTGGTATAGATATTAGTTAGTGAACCAGTACTGAGTTTTATTTCATCGTGGATGCCGTTTCCAAGCCTAATTTTCTGGTTATTGACGTGATATCGCCGTTTTTTTTTTTTTTCGGGATGTACACGATAAGGAAACAAGGCATTTTGACTATTACAATTCCTGGTTGTGCTCGCGCATATCTGGAATTCTTAAGCAAGTCAACAAAGCCGGGGATCACTATTAGTTGGCCTCAAGTAAAATAAATCTTCCCTCGATAAGTTTGTGAGAACTGATATTTCAAGTTGAATAGCGATTCATGTTGATGGTTTGTTCATTTTTCCTATTCTTCTCAATAATTTCAATTCGGGGCTTAAAAGCAGTCGGGGGAAACATCGCTTTACATTTGTTCATTCCTTTAACAGTGACTCATTTTGCGGAGGATAATCTGAGAGGATTTTGCTTGGCTTTGCTTGGAAGGGGACTACAAAATTACGGCGCATTATGGCCTCCGGGTGTGGATTGCATGATGCAGCCTGCAGCATTGCGTCAGATTCACGGAAACTCTCAGTTTAGGAATTAAGCCTAAGAGGAGAAGTGGGAATCCGGGTTGCGTATGCAATTCTCATGCCTCCGGAATTCGTCCCTCGGTATCAGCCTTGTCTCTCATCCGCTCCGCTCCCCTCCCAAATGCACACAAGTTCAAAAAGCAAATTTTTTCTTGTTATGGTTTCGTATGTATTGGGTGCTAGGTGCAGTTGTACCTCTATGTTTCGATATAACTTTCCTTTTGAATCGACATAATCATTCATTGATTGTTCTAGATGAGCACAAGACGTAAAGCACTTTACGGTGGCGATGGTATTTCCCTTTCCTTGAAGCTGACAGCTCCGCCTGCGAAGCCGCCACGGGGCTATTTACGAAGCGGACCTGTGCGGATCGAACCGCTTGGAAGTGTGGGTAATCAGGAGGAGAATTCACAAAAACAGAAGTCGCAGGTGACGTTCATTGAAAAGTTTATCTAACATTGTCTAATTTAGTAAGCTACCTATTTACAGCTTTGTCGCAGTATCGTTTTTCGACAACGGAAAAGTATACCAACATGAAAAACTATTTTCGTGAGATAGTTCAAGCAAGGTATACCTAGCCATTACCACTTCCTACTCTGCGGATGTTGAGAAGTTTTGTGAGTCCTCACAATTCATCTGTGCTTTAGGTACGTTATATAGGGACAGCTGTGAGTTTTCTGGTCATGAAGCTGTAGATATCTTGGACAACTATCTGGAGATGAATCGTGAGCAGTTCTCCGGCAATATTGTTAGAAGGCAGAACTCTGCTAAGGTACTTCACTAATTAACCTTATTAGTAGATATTTGTTACTATTTTTTCTTACAATAAGAGCGGTGTAGTTACACATATGATATATCTTTGAATGTTTAGGTACTTGACATGTGGTTGCGCGAGAATGTTATTCGCCCGGTTCATTCATCTTGTAAGGACTCGCCACCTATGTTTTGTGATAGCAAAAAGGCAATCTACACAATGAATCCCGATTCTGATCACAAGTGAGTATTTTTTAAAGGATAACTCGCTATACAACGGACATTACTCCCATATAAATAGCAGCCATGAGTGTAGCGTACCTATTCCAATTTACAGTGCATCTTAGTCCGTTTTTGTCTGCTTTCAAATTTTTCATCTTTCGCTCAGGTGTTAGTGGGAACAGAGGGTGCTCGATCAGGTGGGTGGTAGGGAAAGGGAACACCTCTGTAGACCAGAACCGCCCAGCCCTTGGTAGAAGTCTTGTTCTGCACGTCTGGTCATTTACCCCGATCTGAGTAAGAAAAGAAAATCGGCAAATGTGTTAAAAAATCGTCTCGAAGCCTTCTCTCGGCTACCTTCGGACAACTGTATGCGTAAAAGAATAATCTGTGCAAATAATAGTACGGTAGATTTTTCTTCCTATGGGGGAACGGGATAGGGCTCTTGATTCTGATCTGTTCCAAACTCACCCAACTATCAAAGGCATCCGTGAGCGTTTTTTGGTATCTCTCAGATGACCACTCGTAATGGGGGAGCTGAATATATTTATCATACATAAAACAGCTACTGTTCCTATCATAAAGTTGTTTTATTTGCAGATTGTATATTTGCTCAACACCCACCTCCTACAACACATCAGTGGGTAGAAGGCCGTCGCGAACAAGTTCGTTCAAGCGGTTTTTCTCTCCGAGCCGATGTAAGTTATATTTCATTATAATGTCTTAAGATGCTCGACTTCAACGTTTAGTAAGGAACTCCGAAGAAGCATCGCATCGAACGCTTGTTCGGTCTCCATCGGCGATGTCTGAACCAGTGCTCACTACAAGGCGTACATCTCGCACACCAAACATATCCGATGTGGAACCGCGCAGCGCAAACCCAAACAGTCGTTCACTAAAAGGTAAACTTGGAAGTATCTTTTTCAGCTTTGGCCACTTTTGATTTATTTTTGTGGCTTGTTGCCATCACTGCTTGTTCTCTTCACTTTTGCTACAATTCAGAGGAGGCTGAGTTACATGACGCTGCTTTGTTCCGTCTTTTAACGATTGTGGAAATACCTATGCTCGATGATTTGACTACCTTGCCTGGACAGCCAACGGTATTCGTTATTTTTGAATATAAGAGTACCGTTTATAAAAATATTTCTCATTGCAGAGAAGCGCTTCGATACTTTCCACGATACTTTCGAGAATTGGTCTTGGAGGTTCCACTCCCGAAACCATTGCATCAAAAGAAGAAGAAATGGATGATCTTCTCGAAGACACCCTATCTATTCGGTATTCATTTTTAACACATCTAATATCGTGTTATTTCGGAGGCCGTGTAGACGGCGCTAACTGATGTTGGTCAACTCCATGCGACTTTTTCGATAATGCGCAGCTTTCTGATTTCTCTTATGTTTCTTCTCAGAGATTTCTGAGATAAGATATCAATTGAGTTTGTTTGAGGTTCCGTTCAGTTTTGAGCTTCAAAATACGCGCGTTTCGGGACGCCGTGAGTCGCTATCGAATCACGGCGGTCGCGCTCGCAAAATCGCGCCCATCGCTTGCGGCAAGAAAAGGAAAAGCGCACAGTCAACGTGTCGATTAATCCAGCTGCTGCTGTCTGCGCTCCACTTTTCTGTGATTGCCCTGTTCCTGTTTACCTCTCTATTACGCCAAGCAGAAATTTCCCACTGTTTTCGTTTTCCACATAGACTTGTTGTGCAACTGGGCAGAAACAAATACAATGCAATGCATTGAAAACCCTTCATCACTTTAACCCTTTCGGCCCTGGCGGTGGCAATTGCCACCACCAAATTCAAACGCTTGCATTGCCGCTGAAACAGCATGGTTTTTCTAATCCTGCTAGAGGTTGCTTCAGTCAACCTTCCCCTTCCTAATTATGAGCTAAACCTGCCATTTCATTGTGTGTTGCTGTTAGTATTACAAGTATTTGTGTACAAGTGCAACAATGAATGGGCGCTGACCCCCGCAACCGGCCAAGTAAGTGTGACTTTTTCTTAAAATACTTGAAGTAGATCCATTCCTAAATCAAAATTATGGGTTATAATGTTATGCAAGATTATAAACTTTTTCGGCATAACTATGAAATTTCGAATTGTTTCGACATAAGCTTAAAAACTAAGAAGGTGGGCCCAATTTTCAAAGCTTCTTAGTTTCTTTGTTTGTGATCGAATAGCTTCCAAATTTTGCCATAATGATACCTATATGCTCACAAGTAATAAACAATAGCTAGAAAAAAATTTCTCCACGGGGAAAAATTCAGGTCCGAAAGGGTTAAGCTGCGTTTTCGGACTGTTCAAATACGACAAACTCTTTTAGTGCAGGTGACTGGTCAAATTTATATAATGACTTTCTTCTGGACTTGTTCCTTAAATCTTGGTTGCCCGGTGTGAGTCTCATAATGGTGCTTGGATAGTTCTGTTCCCTCCGTATTTCCTTCTCTCCATATATGCTTTTCTGTTTGGCTCAGTGAGCATTATGAGCGGCCCACCACTCGTTTTTTTTTTTGCTCAGACAACTTCAGACTATTTTCTGCTCGCGTGTAAGCTATTCTGAAGCGAAAACTGCTCATGAATTTCATCAAATTCATCAAAAAGGTAAAAAAAGAAAAAACTGCAGAAGGCCACTCCGATGACGGAAACTATCGGCTCGAGTTACTACTAGTGCTGTTTTAGGCCTCTTCTGGTGTGGTTCCAACTCGCACGAATTTGCGCTCCTGGGCTTTATTTCAAGTCTACTGGAGAGAAACCGACTCGAGAGGAAATCCACAATTGGGCGAAAGCGGCTGTGCAAGCGGTATGTATTCATTTAGTTCACGTGATTTTAAGATTTGTTATTTATTTTTCTACACAGATGGAAATTTGCGTTTAAGTAAAAACGGAAGAGAGTTCTCCACAAAGCGATTCTATGGGGTCAGTCGGGTAATACTATAGTACGTATAAAATGGGATAAAGATGTTCTGCTCCACTTTCGGCGTATAAAAGGCACGAAAAGCCTTTTATCCAGAGGCGAAACTTAATTTCTGCCCTACAACAGTGCGGATCGAAGCTGGAGAAGCATAGCCACCCATCTGTTGAGAGTTTTCCAAAAAATGGACCTGTTTGTCAGGAGGCCGTATTTTCTTTCATTCTGCTGCGCGGCAAATGCTTTCGACCACATGATAAACGTTGACATGCTATAGTTTCTGATTTTACAGATGTTTACCTTCAGGTAAATTTGTTACACCATTTGGACTATTGTTAAATGTGATCTGTAACAATCAAGAAATTGAGTGGAAAATTTTACAGTATTTCGGATTAATTTTTTTCTCGAAAAGAGTCCAGGAGAGGTTTGTTTATAGATGTAGGATCCAAATAATTATGATTATAACTACGAATTTATGGAACTTATTTGTTTAGCAAAAGTGGATTTGGAAAAGGATTATTCTCGTAACTTGACGTTTTACAGTTTTTTTTTAGGAATCTGTTGCTACCTGGGGCTAGTGAACTATTGGAATTTTTCAGTGAAAATCTTCATCGATATTGATTTATTTTTATTTTATCATTATCTATTATCATTTCGGTATTGAATTCAGTTTTTGAAAAAAAGATGTCATGCTTTTTTTGGTCGGTACTTGGAAAGCTGAGGAGAGGCCATGGGTGCCAGGGAAAAACATGAGTTTCTGATTGAACCATGAACATTTTCTGTTTTCAATTAAAGGCCTGAAACATATCGCCGCTATATGTTGATGTAGCGCCGCGTTTAAGCTTTGAAACTTCTATAGTCGTGAATCATTCCATTTCATCACCATTCTCAATAGCTAATGAATTCGTGGAAGCAAAATGGTGTGCTGCATAAGTGAGCGATATGATATATTGGTGGAATCAAGAGGCCACAGGAATGCTAAGTGTGGCATATAATAGACATTCAGGATCGTACAGTGATTTATTCTTGATCAGTTAAGCTTTTATGGAATCTAGAACTCCAGCATCATTTTCCATCAGGCTCTGGCACATGTTTTAAAAATTTACATCCGGGCAGAGCTAGAATTCAGAAAAATATCGTACTGGTCCATTTTAGGATTTGTGACCGATACTCGTCGATCACCCATCGTGGGTCGTCTCCACTATTTCCCACGGAATTTTCGCCTGTCATTGAAGCAATTGTCCAACAGCTCCTTGGCAAGAAGAAAAGGAAAACGAAATTAGCATTACAGTTAGTGTTCTTGAAACAGAATGATCTCATGAGAGAGATGAAAAGGTCTATTTCTTTCAGATACCTCTGCCTTATGATCCCACAACGGCTACGCACTCATCTCAGCAATCTAATACAATTCCTTGAACGAACCATAGGAACCGATGAGTTTGTGTCCCTGCGAAATCCATACTTCTTAGGCAAAAAAGTAAGCTGCTATTTGGTGGTGATTCTAGCCGTTCAAGATGCGTAGTTATAATAGTTACAGGGAGACACGGAAAACTTCGAGATCGTTCTTAATGAGTTGAGATCATTCATATTTCCGCAATCAATTGGAAGACTTGACCAGAACAGATTGATTGAAGTAAGTCCAACTTTGAATCTACCGGGAAAGGAAATAACCGATTCGTGTTTCAGGCTCTGTTGGAGCTGAGAAGAGAAGGCAAGCTGGGCGAAGAACCTGCCGAGTTGACCGCAGATCTAAAGAGATTAAGGTTTGCGTTCAACAGAACCTCTTCAGATTAAGTATCTTTTTTTCTACCGGAAAACTGGGGTTTCGCCAATGATCTGTGAAGTTTGAATAGCGGTGCACGGAGCCTGCTAATGGAGGAGCATCGTGACAGGGTCAACCATTTAACTCGTGCGGTTCCAGAAAATATAGAATCAAGTATCAAGTATTACCAAGTATTCCAAGTAAGTGAGGTTCCAGAAAACCTACGATCCTCTCCAACTTCTTCGAAAGGGACCCCCTCAACTTCTCAAGCAGGACTTCTGGCCTGATTATTAGACGTTTGACCCATTTTTGTGGTTCAACGTTGTTCTTCAGAAGCACGTCTTGAATTCTTCAAAATCACCCGCCTGCCCGCTAGCTTTCCTAAGATCGCGTCCATACTCAGCGATTGAGTCGCGTGATTCGTTCGCCGACCATGAACGCGAAATTACGTAGATTAAGGAAATTATAGGTACACAAAGTCCCGATGTCGCGTAGTAGCGTCTGCTGTCGCTGGAGGCGGGACCAGAGACCACCCCTGGCTTGGCGGGTTTTCAAGGGCATCGTT